ATCTCGACATTTTTCTCACCGATATGTCTTTTCTACAAATATTTTCATGGCAACTGCAAGCCAGTAGTACACAGTGGGTTACAGGGAGTTAAAGTAAGAGTGAAGACTGAGAATAAGTAGGATTGAGAAAAAGGACAAAAAATGAACAGGATTCAAGAAAATGGTGATTGATGTTGCATTTAAATTGTTGAAGATTGTAGCCATCAGGAAAGCAAGTAAACAGGATGGAGTTTAATACACCTTTGGATCTTAGTGTTGCTCTTTCTAGCCTCCGTTACATCAATTCCCATATATTTAAATTTCCGCACTTGTTTGTTTCTGGTACCTCCAATTTGCAATTTGCACTTTAGGCTCATCCTTTTGCTGAAAACCATGCATTCTGTCTTCTTACAGTCGATTTTTAATCCTTTCTTCTTACTTTCCTTCTCAACTTTCTGTAGGAGTTTTTGTAGCTTACTTTCTGTGTCTGTCATCTGCTAACCATTATTACCCATATACCCATATATCTTTATAAACTACACCACTTAGCTTTTATTCTTACTGATTAAACAACAATAAACACTTTCAGTAACCTTCTACCTTGAGTGGTTCTTGAACCTTAAAAACATAGAGCTCTCAAGAGATACCCCATTGATTAAAAAATGAAAGAACAGTCTAATATTTGAATAAAGATATTACAATAATCAATTTACACTATTTACACTGTTTGGGCTGCTGTGCTCATTTTTATTGTCATATTCACATCTCAACCATTGTATGCTCTGACATTCTTCAAGGAATATATGTTAGAACAATCTACTCCAGTGGATGAAATAGGCCAGAGTGTAAAATGACCAAAACATTGTGAATATGACAATAAAGATGAGGACAACAGTCTAAACAATGTAAATAGTGTAAATAGTTACAATACCTCATCTCAGAAATAGAGACAGATGTTGAAGGTGAATATGGCAATAAAGATGAGGACAACAGTCCGAACAATGTAAATAGTGTAAATAGTTACAATACCTCATCTCAGAAATAGAGACAGATGTTGAAGGTGAATATGGCAATAAAGATGAGGACAACAGTCCAAACAATGTAAATAGTGTAAATAGTTACAATACATCATCACAGAAATAGAGACAGATGTTGAAGGTGAATATGGCAATAAAGATGAGGACAACAGTCCGAACAATGTAAATACTGTAAATAGCTGCAATATCTCATCTCAGAAATAGAGACAGATGTTGAAGGTGAATATGGCAATAAAGATGAGGACAACAGTCCGAACAATGTAAATAGTGTAAATAGTTACAATACCTCATCTCAGAAATAGAGTCAGATGTTGAAGGTGAATATGGCAATAAAGATGAGGACAACAGTCCAAACAATGTAAATAGTGTAAATAGTTACAAACCTCATCTCAGAAATAGAGACAGATGTTGAAGGTGAATAAATAAAGATGAGGACAACAGTCCAAACAATGTAAATAGTGTAAATAGTTACAATACCTCATCTCAGAAATAGAGACAGATGTTGAAGGTGAATATATAATAAAGATGAGGACAACAGTCCAAACAATGTAAATAGTGTAAATAGTTACAATACATCATCACAGAAATAGAGACAGATGTTGAAGGTGAATATGGCAAAAAGATGAGGACAAAGTCCGAACAATGTAAATAGTGTAAATAGTTACAATACCTCATCTCAGAAATAGAGACAGATGTTGAAGGTGAATATGGCAATAAAGATGAGGACAACAGTCCAAACAATGTAAATAGTGTAAATAGTTACAATACCTCATCTCAGAAATAGAGTCAGATGTTGAAGGTGAATATGGCAATAAAGATGAGGACAACAGTCCAAACAATGTAAATAGTGTAAATAGTTACAATACCTCATCTCAGAAATAGAGACAGATGTTGAAGGTGAATATGGCAATAAAGATGAGGATAACAGTTCGAACGATGTAAATAGTGTAAATAGTTACAATACCTCATCTCAGAAATAGAGACAGATGCTGAAGGTGAATATGGCAATAAAGATGAGGACAGTCCGAACAATGTAAATAGTGTAAATAGTTACAATAATTTTATTCAGAAATAGAGACAGATGTTGAAGATGAATATGGCAATAAAGATGAGGACAACTGTCCGAACAATGTAAATAGTGTAAATAGTTACAATACCTCATCTCAGAAATAGAGACAGATGTTGAAGGTGAATATGGCAATAAAGATGAGGACAACAGTCCGAACAATGTAAATAGTGTAAATAGTTACAATACCTTATCTCAGAAATAGAGATAGATGTTGAAGATGAATATGGCAATACAGATGAGGACAACAGTCCGAACAATGTAAATAGTGTAAATAGTTACAATACCTTATCTCAGAAATAGAGACAGATGTTGAAGATGAATATGGCAATAAAGATGAGGACAACAGTCCGAACAATGTAAATAGTGTAAATAGTTACAATACCTCATCTCAGAAATAGACAGATGTTGAAGATGAATAGGGCAATAAAGATGAGGACAACTGTCCGAACAATATAAATAGTGCAATTAGTTACAATACCTCATCTCAGAAATATACTCAAGTATTAATCAACCCAAAATGTCCAAAGGTTCATTGATTCAAAGAAGAGACATTACAACCTCCTCCCATTAATTTTCCTATATATTTTCACAAACTGCACCTGTTAGATCTTACTGTTACCACTTGTACAGCAAACCTCTTCAATAACTCTCTACCTTGGGTTACACTTGGGCCTCATATAAGGAAAACATTAGAAAAAAAAAATAATTTCCAAGAAAAATCAATCTTAAAAAAAATCATAATCTTCAAAAAAAAAAATTATTTTAAAAAAAAACATCTTGGAGCTCTCAAGAGATCCCCCTTTAATTAAAAAAATGAAAGGATGCTTAAATATTTGAATAAGGAGAGACATAACATTAATCAACCCAAAAATGTCCATAGGTCCCTTGATTCAAGAAAGAGACAGCACCCCCGACAACAACCTCCTCCCATTTTGGAACCATGAATCACTCATATCAACTCAATTACAGTTTTACAAACAGTCAATGATTGACTTTCCCAGATAATTTACCATTATGAGGATCACTGTTATCTATGAAAATGTCACTAGCTGTATAATTGAGAATCAGACGATCATTATTACCTAGCAACAAGGGCCAACCAAAGTGTATGGTGTATATGCTTCTAGCAGGCGATTTCATCTTTCACATCGAAAGGTTTTACCCAGACCTGTCTGTGCTTGATACAGCAGCCATTTTTCTAAGATAATGAATCAGACATTTTTATTCTTGACCAATGCTCCATGGTCATCTAACTATTTATGAGGGCAAATCACTTCTGGTCGACCGGACAGTGTCCGTGAGTGATCATAAATCTGTACAGACCGCAGTTGAGATATCAGCCCTCCACAACTTCCTCCCCATCAAATTGAGTGCAGTCATTTCCATTTGTATAGATTGTCTATTTGTACAAGAGAAGAATTGGTCATTTGATGAAGTGCTAGAAAGAAAATAAAGCCTTCAGCTCAATTCTCATGGACACAAGATTTAGCAAAGGAGATACATATGTCTGTGTGCTAGGTGGTCGAGGTAAGTAGATGGGGGGGAACAATTTACTATTTTTGGACCAACATAGTGCAGCTGGCAAGAAGTTACTTACCAATTGCAGATTTAGTGAAGATACAGATGCTTGATTTGTTTTTACCACTTATCAACCCTTTATTTAAATCCAGAAAATATTTTCAGATTTTATTTTTTTTACTCAGTATTACCCCATGCAAGGTAGTAAAGCTGCAAATGCACAATTATATATATATATATATATAATATATATATATATATATATATATATAATTGTATATATATATATATATATATATATATATATATATATATATATATATATATATATATATATATGTATGTATATATATATATATAATTGGTTGGATTGATATGAGTTATGTTAGCTCTATCTCTGATATTGAGCTTTCTAATAAGTACCGTGCATATAATATATAAATAATTATATATATATTTATATTTATATTAAAGATTTTCCAAGTGAAGCTTAGATGTGGCACAAGGCCGAAAGCATGGGGCATCCAGTGAGGATCAAACTCACTTTTCAGTAGTAATTGACCAAGCAAGACAAGCTTGCTAACCATTACATCACGCCAAGGTGCCCATATATTTATACACACACACTTTTCATATATATATATATATATATATATATATTTATTAAAGACATTTTTATGTTTAACGTTGTTTTTTATGATACGCCAGAGCAGTTATGAATGTACGAGATTCATGAAAGATTGAAGTTTATAAACAGTAAATTCGACCTTGTCTACCGAACGATTCTTTTGTAGCCGAAAACGGTAAGGCACGTCAGCGTAAATGACGGTTCCGTATAGGATGCAGGTTCGTATCCTATCAAAGAACGAATATTTTCTATGAAAATTTCTCGGACATTCAGGCCGGTAAATGTTATTTAATACTGTTTATCATAAACAGAGCATTTACTTAAATACTTGTATCTATAAATAACAACGTTAAACATAAAAATGTCTTTAATAAATAAATTGTCAGACCTTGTCCATTTCTTATATATATATATATATATATATATATATATATATATATATATATATATATATTTATATGCTATGCTGCATCTTTGCAGATCAGATAAATAAAAAAACTGTTGGCATATCCAAGCTGCAGCTGTCCAGTCCTCACTTTCCAGCTGTGACAGTGTTCAAAAGCATTTATGCCACCTTGTGAGTGATTAATATATTTCCCCACCTACAGCTTCTTTCCCTACAGACAAAATGTTACAGGCGTGTCACTTCACTTACCCTATTTCCATGGCAAATATTCAGATGGGCCAGAATTCTTCATTCCAACAGTTCAAACTTTTACAGCTAGGACATGCTATGCTGCACACATTCAAATCATCATCATCATTCAAGCTTACAGCACCTGGTATTCCCAAGTGGTCACCCATCTAGGAACTGTCCAGGCTCAATGTTGCTTAACTTCAGTGAGTTTACAGGAACCCATGTTCTCAACCTAATGTGCCATAAGCCTAGATTGTCGTTGAAGGATGACATGAACATTTTTTCCAAATTCCCACCATAAATGTTCAATTTTACAGCACCTAGTATTCCCAAGTGGTCACCCATCTAGGTACTGACCTGTCTTGATGTTGCTTAACTTTAGTGATCAAGCACAATTATAATATGATGATAAAAAATAATCATAACAACAACAAGTTCACTGAATGTAAGGGAACCTGTGTTTCAATGAGATGTGGCTGTAAGCCAGTTTTCTAGCGGGTGAGAAGAGAATGCTGCTGTGAAGACAATATAAAACTGATTCCATTCAATTAAACTACTATTAGTCTGAAGAAATCCTTTCTCGGGATGAAACACATAATATTGGAAATTTTTTAAAAAATCTTTTTCGTTGTAAGGAATCATATTCTGAGAATTCTTGTTCAGCCAAACCAAAATTTCCCAACAATGGAATCCCACAGAATTCAACTTATGTGTGAAACCCTAAAAGTTTGGCAGACTTCAACCATACGTCAAGTGGATACTTGTTGTAATTCTTTGTGTTATACCCTAGGAGGTACATTGACGGGGGCAAGGGGGAAGCGTAAAGTGCTGTCCATATTGGCCAAAGTTGTGGAGAGCTAAGGAACTGCTCTTTTTTGCCAGAAAACTTGGGAGAGAATCGGTAATATGATTATGGCAAACATATGGCTTTCAAAATCTAATGCCTCTTGCTGAGTTGGCAAACTTACAAGGAGTCTCAAATGATTGAGGGAGAGCAGATGGCAAGTGCTAGAATTAAGGCCACTACCTAATTGGAAAAAACAGAGAATATACAAACATGATCTCTGCATTCATCCATCCTCAGAACACACACACACTTTTATATATATATATATATATATATATATATATATATATATATATATATATATATATATATATACAAGTATGGCTATTTTTGTAGTGATTTTATAACATACTTATGTTATAATTTTTTTATAAATAATAATTATATATATATATATATATATATATATATATATGTATGTGTGTGTGTGTGTGTGTGTGTGTGTATTAATGGTAGACCACTTGTATTCAATGATGCCTGTTTATTAGGGCATCTAGCCAATCCCTATTGCAGACTTTTGTTCAGGAACATTGTGGTTTATACTGCAACTCTGCTGAGCGAACCTTAGTTACAGTTTCTGGGAGAGAAAGCATTATCTAGCATGAACAACAGTCAGAATAAGGCCAGCATGCTCAAGGCCTTGATCAAAATTTACCTTATTTACTCACATCATGCTAGTGTAACTATCGACGGCTCCCAAAGATTTCCATCTACCCAATTTCACTCTGAAAAATTGGGTCAACCTGTGGTATGGTTTTCAGGCACATTCCAAAGGTGCCCTATGCTCAGATCGCTTTCCAAGATTGATAACATCAAGATGTCACTTTCCTGGCCAGTCAACCCTAGCAAGATTTGAACCCGGTTGCTTTCTTTACAATTCTAATTCTGACTAGTGTGAAAGTGAATGCAAGAGACAAGAGCAGAATATATAAATTTCTTATTACTCTAAGCCTTATTTTCATAAATATGTGTGTTTAAGTGGCCCTGTTTTCTTTTTTATATTTATTTTAAACAGTGTGAATTATGTCTTATGCATTTGAGAGACTTAATAAAGAAAACGTGCTCTTCAGCAGAGTTTGAACAAAAAATATAATGTTGCAATAATAAGAATTAATGTCCGATCAAAAATAAAATTCAATAATTCCTCCAATAAATTCCCAAAATTTCACACTAGCAGGATATGCTGCAGGGGGGGTACAGAATGAAACTGAGTAACCTACTTAATGAATTTCTGGGAATAGATGGCAGAGAGCGATGGCAAAATTTCAAAAGTTGCTTAGAGTAACAAAGGTCAGGAAGCCATAGAGAGTTATTATCCCCCACCCCTTGAAGAAATATAACACAGGAAAGAAGAAGAGAGTGAAAGTAATTTATCAGCAATCATTTGGAATGTTTGTTACCCCTTTGACTGAAGGAAATGTATGCCATATTTGGTATAACATATTTGGTAGGCTTGACTAACTAACAAGCTAGTATAAATGGACGGCAGAACATGAAGCGGGTTTAACTTCAACAAAATGACTATTTAAATTACAACCCAAAGACCTATTTGAACAGTTAGGAAAATTTTATTTATTCAGGTGTTACGAATAAACCCACAACAAAGAAAAAGGCGAAAAATGTGTTTAAATTTTAAAATATAAGATTTTATTTTTATATTTTTACAACTAAATTTTTCTTAGCATTTATTACTTTTAAAGTGCTTACAGTCTGTTTTAGTTGTCTTCCAAGATTAAAAGAAGAGGCAAGGGAGAAAGTGAGGAGGAAAGTATAAGTGTCATGTAGCTTGTTGAGGAAGTTGGGTGAATGAATAAGGGAATATGCTTTAAGGCCAGCATCATGACCCATTGCCGTTGTATTGCCATACTGTTTTATCCATCTAGAAACTTTGCTTAAATACCCTTCAAAGGGATCACAAAGCATGTTTTTATTGTTGGCGGGAATGTAACCAGTTGTTTAAAAAATGTTTAAATATTTATCTTCAAAGCATTAATTTTTTAACCAGAAGAATGCACAGTCCTCTGACTCAGAAACCATGCACACACATATATAAAAGGCTCTAAGACAAAGATGCCTCTTCTCACCTGATTTATTTAACCTTTCCAGTGAGGCAATAGTAAAGGAACCAGAAGTCCTACCAGGATTTATTATTGGTGGGCCCCAATCTTAACAGAAGATTTGCAGATGACACTGTTTTGATGCCAGACACAGAAAGAAAACTAAATGAACTCTTAGACAAGGTACCAAAGGAAAGTAAGAAGAAAGGACTAACCATCAATTTTAAGAAAACAGAATATAGGGTTATCAGGAAGAAGGGCAGTAATAAAAATGATTCTATAAATGCTGAACAAATTTCTCACAGATGAAAAGGAAACTTGAAGCAACACAAAAGTAACATGTGAGCAACAAGGAAATTTCTTAAATACATTATGAGGAAAGACAGCTTGGAGAATTTGGCACTCAGAAGGAAACATTGAAGTAACCTGTTTAATGAGCTTGTGTAAATGGATGGCAGAATGGAGTGTCAGGCATAATAAGGTGACAAACTGTACTTCAATAATACACAAAGAATAGGAAGTTGTGGAGGACCATAGTCACCGACATCATGTATAAACACAGAACATAAAGGAAAGATTTGCCCTAAGAAGGAATATCCCTTGCACAAGCAAAAACTATAAACTTCAGTTTTCTCTCATAGTCTTAAATCTTTTTATTCACATGTGTGTGTTGGTTGACTGAGATGAATTCTTTGACGCGCATCTGCCTGCTAACATTGAGGCAAATGATGACAGTAGAAATTTTCCCCAGCAAATAAATGACTGATTTAATTGATTTGATGTGATAATTGGAAAGTGATAATGTTTTCCATATTCTCTCTCTCATTCAATTTTATTGCCATTTTTATCGGTTATCAATTTAATTTTGAACGACAAAGGACATATTGAAAAAATGATCTAGAAGTGTTTTTATCAACTATGTTTGGCCTTTTATTCATGAACATCTACAATTATTTCAATATTTTTTAAATGCCATGACTCTTCCGCACTTAAGCGATTATGGCCCTCCACATCTTCCTTTTACATTATTATCTCTAAACAAGGTATTAAAATGATTGTTCTTTGGAATGATAGCTGTTGCCTTCTTTATAGTCTTAAATTTAGTGTTTTCTTTCTACTAAACTGGTTGCCACTCATGGCTTAAAATTCTAGTTTTCAGAGTATTTAACCCATAATTGGGAGCAATTAAAATGAATTCATGTTTCATTTTCACATATATATAGTGCTTGCAAAAAGAAGTAGTGGAAATCCAAAACAGAGACAGGGAGTTAAAAATTCTGTGATCAAAAACAAATGAGTTGCAAGCACTAGCTAGACGTGCACATGAGTGTAATAAATGGTGGGAATTAGGTCATTAAAATTCACAATCTGCCATAAACAGGAAACATGTCAAATGAATAGTAAGGATGTACATCAGATTATAATATTTTTTTTATCCGAAACTATCCACCTCAAAATATGGAAGGATGAAACAGATTTAGCCATCCCTATTTATGTCTGGCTTGGTTTATGTTATTTTCTCACTAAAGTCCTTCAGGTTTTATCTCTGCCACCTTCACTTTCTGACTTCAAACAACTAACTTGTGGACTGTTTATTTAATGCCATATCGGAGTTTGAGTCAAGGTAAAAGATATTTTTAATTCCAAAGAACTTTAGTCAGATGGCCGATGACTGAACCAGCTCCCCTGCATCTGATGCAAGGAGGGTCGTTGGCAACTCTGTAAAATGGAAAATAAGGCCTATCAAAAGGCAGAAGATGAGTCAATAACCAGTTAACTAGAGTTAGAGTCTCAATAAAAGCACAGTGAAGAAGGCAATGGGAAACCACTCCATTATCAATCCCGAGATTCAGTTTTTTTTTTTGTTTTTTTTTTGCCAGTTATTTAAAGCCTGAAAATATTTATAGGCTGTAAGAATTTTTTGGACACAATAAAAATGTATTGATACAAGTCTTACCATTTAACCCATAACAGGGAGCAGAAGAGGTGGATTCATACCTCTCTAAAAAGTAATTGAACTTAAGTAAATATAACAAACCCAACTGAAACTGGAACTTGGTTCTCCAATTAACAATTTGAAGCCATTATCCATTACACCACCCACACATCTAGGCTTACAGCACCTGGTATTCTCAAGCAGTTACCCACCTAGGTACTACTTAGGCTTGGTGTTGTTTAACTTTAGTGATTATACGAGAACCAGCCTTTCAACATGATATGGCTATATGCTATCTGTCCCAAGATCAATCATTGCTATAAACAACAAAAGTATTAAATAGGAAGTTGGGGAGAGCCATGATCACCTATTTAACAATCTTGTATAAATTGATTG